AATTTGTTTCCTGTAGCTGGTTCAATGCTGTGGTTTTTTGCTTTAGAATGAGAATAATGTTGATAACAAAATGATGTTTCAGTTGTCGATGAGTAGAGCTTGCTCTAAGTCAGGAACTTTCCAGTTTCCTATCTCTGCCAATGAGGAGGTGCAAAAAAATCTGGGATGGAACATGACTAGGACAGCTAACGCAAAGTGGACAAAAGGATATTCCATACCATGGAATWCAATAGTGTGTAAACTGTGGGGAGCTGGCTGGGAGGCACTGATCACTGCTTGGGGATGGGTGAKGAGCGATTTCATTGTGTATCACTTGCTGTTCTTGACTTTTATTCCTCTTTTTATCCTTTTACTAGTGCTACTACTAATAACAGTAATAATAATAAAAATAATAGCAACAAAAAACTCTAACAAAGTACTAGTAATTATTATTGTATTAATTTCTGTTGCTGTTATTAGCATTATATTTTATTTCTTTTCCATTATTAAACTGTTCTTGCTCTACCCAGAAAGTTTACCTTTTCTATCCAATTCTCCTCCCTGTCCCTGGCAGTGAGGGGTGCAGTGAGGCAGTGGCTGAATGGCATTTAGTTTCCAGCTGAGGCAATGGTGACAAGCAGCATTGCCATGGGTTGAGACAAGAGTGACAGGCAATTTGATGTGTGATTCTGTAGTTCTTTCATAGCTGAAAAAATTATCTTTGATACATTTGGAGCATGATTAAGGATAACATGTCACAAGAAAGCTGTGTTTTCTCATGTTATCAGTTAAGGTAAGTTAGTGTTTTACTGTGTCTTGAGTTCTGGAGTTACAAATYCATGGCAGAAAAATCCTGTTTTTCAAATCTCAATTTCTAAAAGTATTCAATAAAATGAAAATGATGACATTTAAAAAGTAATAATGACTGACTTCTAGTTTTTGAAAAGGTGTGTAGGTGAAAGATCTATTATAGGTCTCTTTTGACCTTTCATTTTGTATTTTTCAGGTAGTCAGACATTATGAGCTACATAATATTTTACATTTGAAATTGTTTGAGGCATTGGAAAATGCTACAAACTCACTGAAATAAAAATGCTGTAATTTCAGTTTTCTGTTCCWGTTTCCAGTCTAGTTGCTAGTGCAGGTGAAGTGAGTTTGGTAGTGTCTTGGAAATAAYCAGAAGTGTATAGTGCATGCCACAAGCCTATAACAGATAATTTATTTTAAATAAGYTAGTACAACTTCTTCTTCAAAAGAATTTAAAGATTGGACAAAAAAAMCCCCAACATTTAGTCCTTGAGAATGAGTCTGTAGGTCAGCTTGTGTACAGACAATATTGCAAAGTGTAGCTCCCTGGATCAAGATTTGTTTTGTTTTCCATGGATTCACAGGAGAATTAACTTTAAGTAGAAAATCGGTTCCTGAACACTGTTTAAATGATAAGTCTTCCAAAGGAGGCCTTATTTTAAAAGTCAATAGAATCCAATTTGTTAAAAATTAATATTGGTATTATAAAACACTCRGAATAACTTGAAATTAAACTTATTAAAACTCATTTATCTTAAATGCATTACTGGTAATTCAAAAATCTATAGTACTGTTTCACAGATGAGTTATGGTATGTTTTCAGTAACAAAAATAAATGATGGTCTATGTGAAGGAAACTAAAATTGGTATTAAGCTAGTAACATTTGAAATTAAGTCTGTTCAGTACCTTGCTGAACTAATTTGTTTTCCTCTGTCTGTCACAGTTCCACAGGTCTGCAGGAGCTTGGTGCCTTTTTTCATCTAATTGTTTGTTTCTTAATACTATACCTGAGTTTAGAATGRTTAGTGAGCCTCTAGGAAGAGTCATTTTTTTAAAATAGGTTATGTCCAGAAACATTGTTAGGCTCTTCAGGAGTCAGTGTTCTGAATTGAATGCTTCAGCAAAATGCTACATTTACACGTTGCRTCTTGCAAAATTGCTCTGAAGATGTGAATAAGGAAATACTCCTTGTTTCTCAAAGCATGGTAATGCAGGCATAAATCATTACACCGATATGCTGTAGGCCTAAACCAACTTTTCAACAGTAACTTTTCAACTTTTACTGCAACAGTTATCATTAAGTTGTAGAAATTATTTCCACAGAAAGTTTGGAAGCAAAGAGATATAATGGGATTTGAAAAAAGGTAGAGAATTAATAGAAATATAATTAATAGAATAAATCAGCTATAGCTATTAAATGCAACAATCACTGTATAACTTTATATACTCCTGTTTTCAAGTTTATGCAGACTGTGATATTTCTTCCAGTCAAAGATCACATACTTCTTTGAATTATAAGCAAAATCTGCTCATTTCATGATCTGCTCATTTCTACTCATCCAGTTGTTGGAGACCTTTTTCAGCTTCAAACTGTCATTACTCTATGCAGGTGTTTGTTTTTTTTTTTATTCTTAGAGAATAAAATCCTTTTATTCTCTTGATGCTGTCCAGTATCCCTTCAGATTGAAAAAGACAATCAGTAAGGATTTTTTACTGTTTTGTTTTTGTTTTATTGAACCAACAACCAACTCAATTTCATCAGACATTATGGCTGCCATTTTTCTTTTTAACTGAGGTCCAGGAATGATTGTCCCACAAAACAGCTGTCTTCACACAGAGACCGTAGGGCTTGATAACAACTTGTGTTAGATGACACAAAAAAACATCAGTTTCTGCCTCTAGAAAGCAAAACAGCCTTCAGAAAAAMTCAGACTTTGCCAGTGTTGGAACTCAAGAATGTCTCTATACATAACATTTTCAGGGCAATCACCAGGCAGGAATTGCATACAATCCTTTGCCTTTAATTATACAGAAGCAATTTTATGGTCACTAGTGCTGTAGTAAGACTCTTTTTGTTCACTCTTTCTTCACTGCCCCCAACATATATACCCAGGCCTCTGGTAACTATTCTGAGGTACTGGTTATGTGGTAAAGTACTGCTTGAAATGGCTGAAAATTAGAGTAGGAAAATGCATTATCAGTAAAACACATGAAAAGTCTAGGAATCACAGTAGATAGTGACACACAGGGTATGTTTATGGCTGTCTCCTCTTCTTCATCAAAGTCCACTGTGTCTGTCTTTGGGTTGTGAATATAAATCTGTGAGTGGTCAGGAGTGGTACAGTGACAGAAATGGTAGATGCATCTGCAGAAATGAGAACAGATTGTACAGACACACAGCACAGTCCTCGGAGATTACAAATTTTAGAATATATTTTATTTTGACTA